TGGAGTCTTGAATCTTTGTGTGCACCGAAATTTCTTTTCTCCATGGACTCAGTTCAGGTGTTGCCAGATCAGAGATAGTCATTTGGTTCTGATACCGATTGCAAAGTTTTTGAGTTTTTGAACGGGGTATACTCCAGGCTCCAATAAATTGATACATATTTTGGTTCAAAATTTTATTTACAACTCAGGTCACATCTATCACACATGCGTCCTTTGATGACTATCCCTCCACTGTTTTGTAGTGAACGTCTTGCCACAACCAGAACATTCGAATGGCTTCAAAGTTTCGTGGGATCTCTTGTGGACTCTCAACGAGAATGGAGTCTTGAATTTTTTATCGCAAATATCACATTGGTGTTTGTAGATGTTGGTATGTACTAACTGATGCCTGTTCAGACTTTTTTTAGTAGAAAATATCTTGTCGCACAGTGTGCACTGAAATTTCTTTTCTCCATGGACCCCGTTCAGGTGTTGCCAGATCCCCCTGACGCTCTTACCGCATTTAGGGCAGTCGTTGAACATACGATGTGCTTGGAATTTGTGCGTCCTATATTTTGATATATTTTGAAATACTGCTCCACATAGTTTACAAGTATATGTCGGAGTTCTTTTTGCGCATCTATTCTGTACTATGCATTTTCTACATCTTCCTCGTGTAAGTTTTCTTTTGCACTGGTCACAATACTTGGAACTCATCAATCTTCGGAAATCGGAGTCGCTGTGTTGAAGAAAGCAGATATGGTTTACACCGTCTTCGGGATAATTGTCACAAAAAACGCATGTTTTTTTCGTCTTTGGACAATGATGGTGTACAGTGAAGAAATCTATACAACTACTACAATACACGTATCTGGGAAGCGTCCTGTCGTGATTTTTGAAATGATTCGGTTCATATTTGCCAAGGCGTGTTTGGCATGAAATAGAATACCGTGAATATCTGAAAATGAAATCATACAGTTAGCCGCTGCGACTGGTGTTTTTATAAAGTCATTGTAACCTAAGCAATATCTATTTTCTGGCGTGTGGTATGGGCGTGTGTGCCATGCTTTCGAAAATTATCAATATTTTTTTGCTTACATTTTAAACATATCAGTGATCAAAAACTGTATTTTTGTATTTATGCTATTTGAACAATATCTAGGCCTCTGCGGAAGAGTTTTTTGAAGAAAGTTGGTTCAACTAAACTGGATAGTGTCTTACCAAACCAAAAGCATTTTTTGGTTTGCTGGAAGTGCTAAATTTTATTTTTCAAAGTGCTATGATGGAGATGTTTTCCATTAGGTAATACAGTGGACCTCCGGTAATCCGACAAACATTATGCTGGGCAGTGTCGGACTATCGAATTTCTCGGATTATAGAGCACTGCCTAAGACCCCCTATAGTCCGGAATTTTTTACAAAAGAGTACCTTGTAATCCGACAAATTGATATCCAATGGTAAGACTATATACAGGGACTTTGAAGTTGAGTCATTAATTTTCAGATAATGATTGTAGAAGGAAGATAAACCAAAATGTGTGTAAAAATAAAAAAAAAAATTTTACCTTGTTTTATAAAGTATCCTCCCGACAAGTATTTCAGTGCGGACCTGTATTTGATCGTGAGGTCTTGAAGCACCGGCATGCCGTGCCCTGTGAGGTCTTAAGTCACCTGATTCACGAGCCCGTTGTACTACATTAACAAAGGCACGAGGGGTTGGTTGCACTCGATTGGGAAACCGATCCGCATAAACATGTGCCATTTTTTATTTCGTTTGAGCCACGCAACAGACACCACTATTCACTCACCGCGTTACCGACTGACACTGACTGTATACAACTGAATAAAATAATTGTAAAAACATCGTTCCAAATTCTTTCGCTTTTTTGTTTCCGATGCGATGAACCGATAAGGCGGATTATATCCGTTGTTGCCAAACACGAGCACGTAATATTATTATTGAGACAGGGCGGTACTCAAACTTCCAAAGGGCTATAACTTTGTTACTTTAATTTTACCAGAAAATGGTAAAGGAAAAAACATTTCTTTTGATCAGATCTACACACTGTTAAAATAAATGACTCAACTTCGAAGTCACCCTGTATGTTATGTATATGTATGTACTACAAATCGTACATAGTTTATGTATGTCGAATTTAGTAAATTAAATACAATAGAGAGCTTACGTTTTATTATAAAATTAAGCATAAATGCACATACATATGTACCAAAATAATCAAGAATTATTAATCAAAATCATTATCAAATTATGAAGCTTGGAAGTATTCATCAATTTTATTTTGTTTAAGGTTGTTATAACGCGAGATCAGAGCTTTGTCCCTCAGTCTTCTTAAAAGTAAAAGTTCGTTGTAGGATGTACCATTCTCTTCAGCCCATTGTAAACCTAGCTCAAAGGCGTTAATTGCGTCTTGTGCTGTGACTTGTGGAGCAGTTGCAATCAAGTCGTCGTTATTTTCCTGATTGTTCGTTGTATAATTAGAAACCTCTTTTATAATCTCTTCGTCAGACATTTCATGAAAAACATTTTCCTCTTTATCCATGCCACGGCACCAGATTTCCAAATCTTCCGGACGTATCTGTGTTTCAGTAGCGACTTGTTCTATAACTTCCAAAGTAACACTGATTTGTGGAACGTTGCTAGGAGTGGTGACTATATCTGGCCATAACTTTTTCCAAGACGATTTAATAGTTGATATTCTGGTTCATTGGTTGAATCAGTGTAGTGCAATTTGGCAGAAGAAACATCGCAGTGTTGCATTTCCCTCGGTTGTTAGTTCTTCTTCAGGCGGATGACCGGGAGCAACAACGCTTTTTGAGGAACATTCTGATCTTCTAACCATTTTCTAACTTCAGGTACGAAGCATTCATCAAACCACTTTTTGAAAAGGTCTTTTGTCATCCATGCACTTTTTATCCGTAATAGTGTACAGGTAAATCAATGTTTTTGAATGCCCGTGGTTTATTAGATTTCCCAATGACCATCATCTTAAGCGCGTGTGTGCCGGCAGCGTTAGCACATGGTAGTATGGTTACACGCTCTTTACTTACTTTTCGTCCAGGTACGGATTTTTCGTTACAAGAAACGAAAGTTTTGTTAGGCATCACACGACAAAAAGCCCTGATTCGTTTGCATTGTACACCTGTGACGTTCTCCTTTTGCAAAAATTTTAATTTAAAGAGCTCTATGCAGGTGACATCGTTAGAAAGTTTCTTTCCTGTAATAGTCATTAAATGTATGCCATGACGACTTTTAAAACGTTCTAGCCATCCTTTGCTGGCCACAAAATAATCTTTTTTGTTATTTCCTTATAAAAAGCTTAGCTTTCATGGCCAACATGGGTACTGAAATTGGCGCATGCCTATTTCTTTCCTGAAGAAACCACATGTACAAAGCTTCTTCCACTTCTGGATCAATGTTTTGTGCTTTCACTTCTGAGTGTGTGATGACATTACTAGAGGTACTATACTTAATACACAATGAATAAATAGTAAACAATGAACGCACGCTAGGCCGTACCGCTATCACCAGTACTCAAATTCAAATTAAGTAAAACAATGCTTACGCGTCGAGCACGATAGCGGTGGCGCGTACAAGTTGTAACCTGTTCAAACCTGCGTGATCTACATTAGCGAAGATTGTCAAATAAGTATGTATGTAATACATATTCAAAGACATGTCGGATTACAGGAGGCGCCGGATTAGACAGGGGCCGGATTAACGGGGGTCCACTGTATTGTTTTATATTTGGAGAGGGTATGCCTAAAAAAAAGAGGTCCAGCCGAAATTTATTGCGGAAAGTTGAAAATTCGATAATTTGAGTTATAGCCAACTTTCGCAAAATTTGGTATATCACTTTTTTTAGGATAGTTCGTAGATCAAAAATATGCATAGAAAAACTACCAAGATCGAAAATTCAGATTCATAGATAGCTTTGCTAAAAAAAAAAAAGACGTGACTCCCTCTGCTTACGTGTTCTCAAAGAGTTGGTCAAGAACCTCCCGAATACCACAACTCAATATCTCTTTCCGCTCCGGAATTGAATTTGGGAAAAATGTTCCATTTCTCTTTTTTGTCGTATATGAGCCTTTCACAATGCGAAAGGAAAATGATGAGTGAAAAAATCATGGAAAACCGTCACATATGCAGCTGAATATTTTTCATGGTGAACGGGCGTTTGATTTAATGAAGCATTTGGTACTTGTGCTGCCACCTTGCGGATGTAATGTTCAGGAACAACGCATAATTACCCTTAAGAGATAGTCATTTGGTTCTGACACCGATTGCAAAGTTTTTGAGTTTTTGAACGAGGTATACTTCAAGCTCCAATAAATTGATACATATTTTGGTTCAACATTTTATTTAACTTCTTAGTACGAATATTACAACTCAGGTCACATCTTCCCCTATCACACATGCGTCCTTTGATGATTATCCCTCCACTGTTTTGTAGTGAACGTCTTTCCACAAACAGAACATTCGAATGGCTTCAAAGTTTCGTGAGATCTCTTGTGGACTCTCAACGAGAATGGAGTCTTGAATTTTTTATCGCAAATATCACATTGGTGTTTGTAGATGTTGGTATGTACTAACTGATGTCTGCTCAAGTACGTTTTGGCAGAAAACTTCTTGTCGCACAGATCGCATTGGAATTTCTTCTCTCCATGGACAGCACTTAAATGTAACCACAGCTTAGTGACGCTTTTTCCGCATTTGGGACACACTTGGAGCAAGCCGTGCACTTGGAATTTGTGCGTTCTGTATTTCGCTATAGTTTGACAGATCGTTCCGCATAATTCGCAAGTATATTTCGGCCATATTTTCTGTTTCTTGCATCTTTTACACCTCCCCTGGGTGAATTTCTTGTTGCATCGTTCGCAATACTTGATACCTATCAAACCTTGGAAATCCAAGTTGTTGTATTGAACATAACACGTATGGTTAACGCCGTCCTCAGGAAACTTGTCACAAAAGACGCAAATTTTTTTCTTCTGCGGACAAGGATGGTGCAATGTGAAGAAGCCTATGCAGTTTCTACAATACACGTATTTAGGAAGAGTACCTTCGTGACCTTGGAAGTCGTCAGGTTCGTATTTACCAAGGCAAGTAACGCATAAAATACCGCCAGAGAGAGAAACGGTGCCCGAGTATCTGGAAAGAAAATTGTGAAGTTAAGGATTTGCAAGAGACACGGATTAAGTCAAGAACAGTCATTTCTTCTCAGCACTAGTCTATGCTCAAACCACGCGTAAAGTTATACCGCCCTTATCTCACTACGTGACCACGATGCCATAGTTCCCATTTTACGCTGTTTCTCACTATGCACCCATGCACCTGTCTCAACATGCAGTAACATTCACCCTCCTGAGTCCGTTTATTAAGTCATATTGCAAAACTTTTATAGTATTTACCGCTCAAGTTTTGTTTCCACTTTTTCAAACTTGTGATACACTATCCCTATACTGTTCACTCAATGGAAATTACTGAGTCAATCCTCTTGACTTCATTTTTTGTTGAAGTTTAACTAGTACTATTCAGCCTTTTGAACAACGGTAAAGAGCAAGATAGTGTTATTTACTGTATCAAACAAGTTCAGTAACAACTGATATACTTGAGGAGAGGTGTGTCTTAATCAACAAAAATCTTACCTGAAAATGTTTCGAATGGTTCCCAAAAGGTCCATATCGGCAGAAGTCATGCTGGCAGATAAAAGGTATGGACGTTTGATCAGGTTCAAGCATAGATAAAAGATTCTTCTTTATTCCTACTCGCAGAATTATACTAAGTGACATTCAGCCTTATTAGTTTTACATTCCGGTTTTTATACTGTTTTTTTTTAATTCACTAACGTTCTAAGAATGAATATTTCAGCCGCAGTAAAGAATCAACGTTGGCGGATTTTGGTTCTTGACATCCTTTACGATCGGTTACGATGCCTAGAGTACGGAGACCTGTACGATTTCGTCAACTTAGTGAGTTTGATAGGGGCCGTATAGTGGGACTTCGGGAAGCTGGACTTTCTTTTCGGGCAATTGCAGTTAGAGTGCAAAGAAGTGTAGACACTGTGGTTAGGTGTTGTCAGGCATGGCTTCGAGAAGGCCGTACGCAAAGAGCAAGGGGCACTGGACGCCGCCGTAGAACAACAGACCGTGAAGATCGCCGCCTAAGATTATTGGCCTTAAAGGGACCGTTTCTCCACTACCAGGTCCATTGCAAATTAATGATTTGCAGAACACGGAAGACCTATTGGCATGCGAAGTGTTTACCGACGAATGAGAAGTTTTGGCTTGTTTTCATACCGGCCACACTGGGTCCTCCCTTTAACTCGAGAACACCGACGTAATCGCCTTGAGTGGTGCAGACAACGGTCACTCTGGGATCAGGAATGGAACAGTATTGTCTTTAGTGACGAGTCTCGATTTTGTTTAGGCATGCACGATGGTCGTGCCAGGGTTAGAAGGCGACATGGTGAAAGGAGGAATCCACAGTTTTTTGTTGAAAGACATGTTCATCAAACTGTTGGAGTTATGGTTTGGGGTGCTATAGCTTATGGTTCCAGGTCACCTTTAATCTTCATCAGAGGTAACATGAACGCGCAGCGTTATATCCACGAAGTTCTAGAACCCCATCTTTTACCCCATCTTGACACCGTGGCAGATCCAACTTTCCAACAAGATAATGCCCGACCACATGTTGCAAGAGTCACAATAGACTTCTTTCAACATAATAATGTCACATTGTTACCATGGCCACCAAGATCTCCCGACTTATCCCCAATTGAGCACGTGTGGGATATGATGGGTAGGAGATTGCTCAATTTGCAACGTCCTCCTCAGACTCTAGAAGCACTTCGAGAGGAGTTGGTGGTTGCCTGGAATGAGATACCACAGGAGGACATTGACCACCTGATCAGAAGCATGCCTAGGCACGTTGGAGAATGCGTAGCACATCAGGGTGCATCCACACATTATTAAAGGTCAAAGGGCTTTAAAGCAGTGCAATCATTTTGAAATGTTTATCATTTACTTATTATGCTTCATTAAGTACTTATACAAAATTTTATTAAAATAAAACCATTTAAACTGGGTGTTCCCATTTATATGTCACTTAGTATATTTTATATCTATGTTGCAAGCCGACTCTCCTGGCACAATGTCAAAGATTTTCTATTGAAAAATGTAAAATCTAGATATTTGAGCTAGCCTTACAACTACACGAATAAGCTCTGCTTTCTGGTGATGGAGAGGTGCATAAATCGCGAGCTTGCCTCTTCTCTAACAGACAGTCTCGGCACCCTTTCGTACTGGCGAGCGGTCGACGATCTAGCTCTTTTCTACCGCTACGCCAATAGGCTTTGCTCGTCAGAGCTCTCCTCCATGATGCCCCACGTGGCGTGGCTACTAGACAGACCTGCCCAATTATAACTTTTTTTAGACATTTGAAGAGTTTTATAATGTCAATCCAAGATATGTACATCACAGCATTACGATCAAAGAGAGATTAGTTATCTATACCTTTAACTGAAGGAATGCTTCACTGATTATCTGATAATTTCTGACTCTTTTTAGATAATTCTTGTTTGGCAATATTAATGTGCTATATATTTTTGAAGCCAGAATTAAAAACTGTCTTCACTTGGACAAAAAAGTTGATGATTGAAGACAAGAGGCGAAACAACGTTGTGGAGGAGAAAAGTGGCAGTCATTGTGAAATTTATTTTTAAAACAATGTGATGTGTCACAATCATGACGCATTTGGGGAAATTCCGTTATTTTCGTCTACCTCCGGAAATACAGCAGACGCTCGATAACGTAAACACGGGATAACGAAAACTTGCGCTAATGTAAACACAAACTTCGTTCTATGGGATCAAACGGAACGCGAGATAACGTAAACAATGTGTACGTTCGATAACGTGTAAACAACTCTCGGCGCACGGAAACAGCGCGACGGTAAAATGCTGAAGCCTCGATGATTTATGTCGGGCGTCGGGGAGTCCCGATTTATGATGTGAGTGTAGGGGATTCACCTCTGCGATAAAATACGACAAACTCGGTCAGTCGTATGATCGTTTAGGATACGTTTATACGTACGTATGTATTTCATTTTTGAACTTAAGTGAATACATTGCACGCGTTAATATATTTTACGACTATGGCATCCACATCCTATAAAAGAAAGTGTTTAAAGTTGAGTGAGAAAGTGAAAATCATAGACGAAGTTGCACTTGGTGCGGGAGTGACACAGTTAGCAAAAAAATATGGAGTATCGAAAGCAACAATCTGTAAAATTAAGCGTATGAAAACTCAAATCTTACAAAGAACGTGCAATACATTTGGAGGTTCGGGAAAAAGAAAAACTTTAAAAAATGCGAAGGCACCTAAAATGGAAAATTCCATGTATAAGTGGTTTTTAAAAAAATGGGAAAATCAAGTCCCAGTTAGTGGCGAGGTACTTAAACAGAGACTGTTAAATGAAAAACTGAAAGAAACTGAAAATTTCGTAGCTAGTGATGGCTGGCGACAACGATTCAAAACAAGATATGGAATTCGACTGCTGTCTATATCTGGTGAAAAATTATCAGCACAACCACAATTAGTGCAACCATTCAAATAAAAATTGATGAAAACAATTACCGAGCTAGATTTAAGAATGGAACAAATTTACAACGCAGATGAAAGTGGCCTTTATTGGAAAATATTACCAGAGAAAACCTATGCTGCATCATTTGAAAAATCTGCCCCGGGAAGAATGCCGGAGAAACAACCAATAACGTTTCTAGCCTGCACTAATGCTAATGGTTCACACAAAATAAAGCCGCTGGTAATTGGGAAAGCAAAAAATCCGCGCTTATTTAAAAATGTTAATATCCCTGTTGATTATGACTGTTCAAAAACCGCTTGGATGACTAGCGGTATATTCCTGAAATGGTTCCACAGGTGCTTTGTCCCTCAGGTATGACAATCAATTATCACAAATGCTCTATTCATAATTTGAAGATGTGTTTTCAATTTGTAGGTAAAAGGTTTCCTAAAACAACAGAAGCTTCCAATAAAAGCGTTGTTACTATTGGATAATGCACCAAGTCATCCTCCCGAGCAACAACTAAGGAGCAGGGAGGGTCAATTTTCGTCATGTACATGCCGCCCAACGTAACACCGTTAATTCAACCAATGGACCAGAATATAATAAGACTCACCAAACTATACTATAGGAAGTTTCTACTTTCGTCTGTCTTATCAAAGAATCCTGAAAACTTATCTGAGGCTTTAAAGAAAGTAACATTACGAGAAGCTGTTTTAGATTTACATATGGCCTGGAATGAACTTAACCATCAAACTATTCAAAAATGTTGGAACAATCTCTTTTGTACCAATAATGAAGATGATGAAGAAGACGATGTCCCCTTAAGCGTAATTAGAGAACGTTTGCGATCCAATAATGATAATGTTATTAGTGTGTCATTGGATGTTGTTGATTTATTGAAAACAGTGAATCCCAACATTGTTTGTACTCCTGCTGTTATTAATTTATGGAACGAAGATAAGCAGACGAATGATGCTGATAAGGAGGAGGATATGGACAGTGAGGATGATGAGAACGATCCCGTTGAAGTCAGAAGTGTAGTGATTGACGCGCAAGCTATACAAGTTTTTAACCAAGCTTTAGATTGGGCTGAAAGAAAAGAAATTTCATACACGGATATTTTAATTCTTCGTAAATTACGGGCGCAGGCATTGGAAGACAATGCTAAGCGCAAATTTACGCAGACAAAAATTGTTAATTATTTTTCTTCTAATTAAAAAAATACTTATCGCTGTTAGAATATTTGTTTATTTTGTTATAAATAGTATGTATTAAACGTTTCTTTTAATAAATCAAATATTATATAAATCACGTTCGCTAATGTAAACATTTCGATAATGTGAACCACACTTGGATTAAATTAGTTTACATTATCGAGCGTCTGCTGTATTCTGAAATACATAAATTGTAGGACGCCTGTATGGCCTCCTTGATTTTCATAGTTTTCTACTGTTCCATGTCTATTTTGAGGTTATGTTACAAATATCCAGTTGCATCAACTTGTTCATGCTTTTGATTCATATCGTCCGTTTTATGAGCCTGAATTTTCCAAACTAAAACACTTATGAGAGCGCTGACGCTGACACGGAATGGTAGAAATCTAGAAATACGCCAGCCTTTTTGAAGGAGAGTTTTCTCTATGAAAATCAAGGAGGCCATAAAGGCGTCCCACAATTGTACGACCAACGATATGTTACCATAATGCGCAACTTTGCTTCGGTTCATCTCACCTAGTATCTCTTACCATTTCCGAGATCCCAGTGGTGGAAGTCGAATTTAAAACAAAGTTACAGAGACCCTCGGTAAATAGCCTAAGCACCGATGCCTCGTCATCGCCAGAAATCCTCTACTTTTCCTCCTCATTATGTGGCTATATCTGCGTAATAGGGGGTATGATCGGGATCAGGAAAAAGAAATATTTAATAAACCCTAATTCTATTTATTAAATTAAATTTACAGTAACTTAAAACTTACAATTATTATCGATGGTTTTTCATATGATCATCCCTACACCTTTTAGTGACAAAACCCTTAGAGCACACCAAACACTGGAACGGTTTAACATCAGCATGCGACCTCTGGTGCACACTGAGCGAGAACTTCGTTTTGTACTTTTTCCGGCAAGTTTCGCATTCGTATTTGTAGACATTCGCATGCACCAACTTGTGCTTACTCAACCGGTTAGCGGACGAGAAAGATTTATCGCACAATTCGCACTTGAGCAGCTTCTCTCCATGGGTTCCTCTGATGTGCTCTTGGAGGTGTATGACGTTCTTCCCGCACTGAGGACATACGTTGCGTGGACGGTGCATGGCGGCTACGTGTCTCCTGTATTTGTAGTACGTGGCCAGCTTTAGATTGCACGTTTCGCAAGTGAAGCCGTCGTGTTTCACTTTGAACTGTAAAAGGATATTGTCCGATCATTTCAAAAAGGGGGCATGCCTGGAAAGTGCAGAGATTCGAAAATTTAAATGTCCTCATTGATTTTCAATCTTCACTTTGTATCTTCAATCTGACCCGTTTTGCTATGAAAGTACCTATACCTCTTTTTTCTTCCTTTCTTACGTCCATCCTCTACTTAATAAGAAATCTCCACTGGCTGGGCTCGGGAAGATTTTGAAGAAGGAAACGTTATAAATATACTTCGAAGTTGAGTCATTTATTTTAACAGTGAGTAGATCTGATCAAAAGAAATGTTTTTTTCCTTTACCATTTTTCTGGTAAAATTAAAGTAACAAAGTTATAGCCCTTTGGAAGTTTGAGTACTGCCCTGTCTCAATAATATTATGTGCTCGTGTTTGGCAACAACGGATATAATCCGCCTTATCGGTTCATCGCATCGGAAACAAAAAAGCGAAAGAATTTGGAACGATGTTTTTACAATTATTTTATTCAGTTGTATACAGTCAGTGTCAGTCGGTAACGCGTGAGTGAATAGTGGTGTCTGTTGCGTGGCTCAAACGAAATCAAAAATGGCAAATGTTTATGCGGATCGGTTTCCCAATCGCGTGCAACCAACCCCTCGTGCCTTTGTGAATGTAGTACAAAGGGCTCGTGAATCAGGTGACTTAAGACCTCAGGGCATGCCGGTGCTCCAAGACCGCACGATCAAATACGGGTCCGCACTGAAATACTTGCCGGGAGGATACTTTGTAAAACAAGGAACATTTTTTTTTTATTTGTACACACATATTTTGGTTATCTTCCTTCTACAATCATTATCTGAAAATTAATAACTCAACTTCAAAGTCACCCTGTATAAATAACAAACCACGAAACGAGACGAGCGCTGTGTGACTTCAGGAGGTTACTTTATGGTGAGAGTATAAAATTGTTATTATATTTGGTTATAAAAATTAGTCTAATCACTTAATTTACAGACCTCGTATGATGAACTAGTGAAAATTTCCTACAGTTCATTATCGTGTTTAGCATTTTCTTGTTTAACAGTTTTGGCAAACGGAAACAGCAAAAATACGAGTGTAGATATCAAGCGGTTTAATTTGTAAGTACACTACCGTTCAAAAGTATTTCAACACCTGCATATCTCCATTTAAAATCATAACAAACAAAACGACTATTCAGTGCGTATTTATTATGTATTTACTGAAAACCATCACCATGGAAATCAAGAATCACTGATTTGCATATACACTGTCGTTCAAAAGTATTTGAACACCTGCATATTTCCAATTAAGATCATAACAGGCAAAAAAGACTATTCGGTGTGTATTTATTATTTATTTGCTGAAAACCACCATGAAATCAAAATTTTGCTTACACTATTATTGGCATCTCATCATTAGCCATAATAAGAATTTCTTTGCCTTTGGAATATTGTTATGTTTTTGTATAGGAATTCTTTCTCAGGATTTGTTGTTCGATTATTTCTCACACCACAATTTTACTTCAGTTATTTTGTCTCATTTGACAAACTGACACTGCTTCAATGCCTTATAGTTCAAGATTGTACAACAAGTGCGTTTTCGTTTATTTTTTTCTGGACAAAATGAAAACAAAAGATATCCTTATACTTGCACATTTTGAAGGAAATCCTCCAGATGGTATTTATAATAATAGAAGGTGACGTGGTGCAAGGAGGAATCCACAGTTTTTTGTTGAAAGACATGTTCATCACACTGTTGGAGTTATGGTTTGGGGTGCTATAGCTTATGGTTCCAGGTCACCTTTAATCTTCATCAGAGGTAACATGAACGCGCAGCGTTATATCCACGAAGTTCTAGAACCCCATATTTTACCCTATCTTGACACCCTGGCAGATCCAACTTTCCAACAAGATAATGCCCGACCACATATTGCAAGAGTTACAATAGACCTCTTTCAACATAATGATGTCACATTGTTACCATGGCCACCAAGATCTCCCGACTTATCCCCAATTGAGCACGTGTAGGATATGATGGGTAGAAGATTGCTCAATTTGCAACGTCCTCCTCAGACTCTAGAAGCATTTCGAGAGGAGTTGGTGGTTGCCTGGAATGAGATACCACAGGAGGACATTGACCACCTGATCAGAAGCATGCCTAGGCGCGTTGGAGAATGCGTAGCACATCAGAGTGCATCCACACATTATTAAAGGTCAAAGGGCTTTAAAACAGTGCAATCATTTTGAAATTTTTATCATTTACTTATTATGCTTCATTAAGTACTTATACAAAATTTTATTAAAATAAAACCATTTAAACAGGGTGTTCGGATTTATATGTCACTTAGTATATGTAAAAAAAGTTAAAATTCGGAAAGGCGCGTCGACGGACAAAGACTTCCTCAAAACTTTCCAGGTACCAAATGATAGAACTAATCATTTTCTTCTTGCTTCTGATTAGCTGAATGCATTCATTGAAAGATTTTTATCCCAGGAGAAATATCAATTATAAGCGTGAAGGTCTAGTGTAAAGGTATGCGTCCACGCGTCCGCACCTAACGTACCAAACGACTCGACTTCGGGTAGTGCGACCACTTTAAACGCCGTTGGTACACCTCAGTTTATCGCACGTTCTATTTACCAAAACCCAGTTTAAATGAGGAGATATTTTCAGGCCAACCGCAGTTGAGCGAGATTTATCACCACTTGCCGCTTTTAAATGAAGTTTATTTCATGTGCAAACTGAATTCATACTTTGAGATTTTTATCTTCTCTTACAGTTACATTCTCGTGACAAACTGCCAAAATGTTTAGTCTTGAGTACAGCTCCATGATAAATTAGAAAAAAAAAGTTACGTTCTGATGGAGGTTAGCTCAGCCGTTCTGAACACTGACTTGACAGCCTCAACTTTGTTGGGACTTACCTCACTTGCAAAAAGAACGCAAATTTTATCTGCTATAATTGGATTGTCGACACAGTCGCCATTTGAAGTATTTTTGAAATGTAACATTAAGATTTTCCGTCATGATCGGCACAACTGACAGCAACACGAATGAATCTACGCGTCGAATGATCGACCGTCCATAGGATAGCTTGCTGCTTATTAAAAATCTCAGTTCGTGTTTGAAAGCCTGAGGAGGATAGTTTGCTACGCTTTCGTTCGTTGCCCAAAGTCCACGCCTAGACCATGCTCATAAATTGGCAAATAGCACGAAACCGATAACTACTGTACACTCTCGCAGAGGTAGATTCCGGTAATAGATGGCGCTTAGCGTTGCCCTATTTCGATAATCTAAAACATGTTCAAAGTGCGGACAGACTGATGTGTGGTTTGCGGACATGTAGATGCATACCTTAATCCTTAAGGCACGCGATTTGAATCACGCGTTTCGAAACCGCAGTCGTACATTATTTCTAGATCGTGTCGCGAGGATGAGATCCTTAGCGATGCCAACGAATGTTGGCATAGATCGAGTATCAGTCTGACGTCTGTTGACAACGCCAAAGACCAACATGATCTGTTTAGATCATACCCATTTTAAAGAGCTGTAAAATTGCTAATATACTAAGTGACATATAAATCCGAACACCCAGTTTAAATGGTTTTATTTTAATAAATGTATTTATCTTACTGTAAATAACAAGTGAAAAAATTTTCAGCCTTATCAGTTGGACATTCCGGTTTTTATACTGCTTTTTTTTAATTCACTAACGCTCTAAAAATGACTATTTCAGCCGCAGTAAAGAATCAACGTTGGCGGATTATGCTTCGACATCCTTTACGATCGGTTACGATGCCTAGAGTACGGAGACCTGTACGATTTCGTCAACTTAGTGAGTTTGATAGGGGCCGTATAGTGGGACTTCGGGAAGCTAGACTTTCTTTTCGGGCAATTGCAGTTAGAGTGCAAAGAAGTGTAGACACTGTGGTTAGGTGTTGTCAGGCATGGCTTCGAGAAGGCCGCACGCAAAGAGCAAGGGGCACTGGACGCCGCCGTAGAACAACACACCGTAAAGATCGCCGTCTAAGATTATTGACCTTAAGGGACCGTTTCTCCACTACCAGGTCCATTGCAAATGAATGGTTTGCAGAACACGGAAGACCTATTGGCATGCGAAGTGTTTACCGACGAATGAGCAGTTTTGGCTTGTTTTCATACCGGCCACACTGGGTCCTCCCTTTAACTCGAGAATACCGACGTAATCGCCTTGAGTGGTGCAGACAACGGTCACTCTGGGATCAGGAATGGAACAGTATTGTCTTTAGTGACGAGTCTCGATTTTGTTTAGGCATGCACGATGGTCGTGCCAGGGTTAGAAGGCGACGTGGTGAAAGGAGGAATCCACAGTTTTTTGTTGAAAGACATGTTCATCACACTGTTGGAGTTATGGTTTGGGGTGCTATAGCTTATGGTTCCAGGTCACCTTTAATCTGCATCAGAGGTAACATGAACGCGCAGCGTTATATCCACGAAGTTCTAGAACCCCATCTTTTACCCTATCTTGACACCCTGGCAGATCCAACTTTCCAACAAGATAATGCACGACCACATGTTGCAAGAGTCACAATAGACTTCTTTCAACATAATGATGTCACATTGTTACCATGGTCACCAAGATCTCCCGACTTATCCCCAATTGAGCACGTGTGGGATATGATGGGTAAGAGATTGCTCAATTTGCAACGTCCTCCTCAGACTCTAGAAGCACTTCGAAAGGAGTTGGTAGTTGCCTGGAATGAGATACCACAGGAGGACATTGACCACCTGATCAGAAGCATGCCTAGGCGCGTTGGAGAATGCGTAGCACATCAGGGTGCATCCACACATTATTAAAGATCAAAGGGCTTTAAAGCAGTGCAATCATTTTGAAATTTTTATCATTTACTTATTATGCTTCATTAAGTACTTATACAAAATTTTATTAAAATAAAACCATTTAAACTGGGTGTTCGGATTTATATGTCACTTAGTATAGTTTAGCTAGTAAAGGCACTGAATTTTTAAGTTGAGAGTGACAACGGAAATTTGATTTCAAAAATTTTCCCGTTACGTGTGAAAAACAACTCCTTTTAGGTGCTGCAGCTGACAGCTGGAATTGCAGTAATGTCATTCTTGTTGTCTCCAACCCCTACAAGGTAGGAAGCTCATTGCTGTAAACGCCTCTCAAAAAATAGAAATTCTTTATAGTGAAGTAACCTTGTGAATTCAGTGTGTATCCATGCAGATCGTAAACGCCCTTGGTCGGGGTGTATGATTCTTTTTTGAGAGGGATTTACAGAGATAAGCTCCATACCACCCAAAAGTTGGAGACAACAATCAAGAATTAAATTTTTGTAGTTTGTGTTCGCTGAATAAGAGGGGCATCTGGAAGAAGTTTTTGATACGTAAGTTACAACTTTTTGAAATGACATTTCCATTGCCGCTTTCAACTTTAAAATTTATTTGTCTATTTGTAGCAAGACAAATCGCATGAATAAATGGGCGCTAAGGATCTGGGATTCAAACCTTAGCATCGAGCCATATGCCCACTTCATATCAGTAAAACTGTGAACTGAGATTTTTACTTACAGAGCGTTCTTAAAGTTGGGACCTTTTTACAAAGCGTCTATTTCATGTAAAAATGAACAAACTGCCCTTATAATGCATACTCCAAAAACTCCAAACACCAGAGGTAAATTTGTCATCTAAAATCCGCTCCTGTCCCGAAATGTTGGTTCACAAAGCGCATAACAGAATAGTTAAAGGTTCTCAAGATACCGCTGAGGATTCGTGAGCGCATTCAGTTCGTTTTCCTGGAGGTTTCCATCTCGCGCCGCCAAGATTTATCTTGCTCAAGGGTTGTTTACAGTCACATCGAGATAGTCACAGGAGAAGTCTCAGGCAGATCAGCTGAGCTCCTGTATGGAAAAACGGATTCTAAAGATGCTGGAACATTACTGGACTCGCAAAGGGAACACCATACCATTGCTCTCCATTTTGCATCCAGGCACACAACACCAACTGATAGTGAATCGCCCTGTACACATCCAACAGCCACGCGACTCACTTCCGAGGGCATCGGATGCCGGTCATTGACTACCTCGTTAGTTATAGTACAGGAAGTATCTTCACATCCGCTTAAAAAATATTTTGACTGTTTTTTTGCATTACCTCATTGAAAAAACACCCCTTTTTAATGAATATGCATGTTGCCAGACCGAAAATTGCGTAAAAAATGGTTACTCCGTTTGATTCAAGTTTTGCAAAAAACCTAATCAGAATATTTTTCAGCAGACGGAAAGATACTGCCTGGACCACTACCGCGCATCCAAATGGCAGCCACCAGAGGTATCATCTCAACCACCGCGACAGAATCCTTGTCCTTCTACTGGTAACTGTATTGTTTGATATTACTCTCGGAGAGCCCGATGAAACTTACTGATATCAACATTGTAATTTTTTCATAAATAACTAAAATACAGGGTGGCCCATAAGTCCTTTGAGCTGGAAAAAAATGAATAAAACCAAACTAGTTACATTATGAAGAATTATTATATTTTGTTATCATCTTTATTGAATGGGAATTGTGTTTTAAAAATCACATCGTCTAAATGCAATCCATTACGATCACGGCACTCATATAAACGACGTCTAAAATTGTCGATGATTGCGCGGCAAGTCAACACTGTAATGCTTGCCATTTCTCTTCGGATATTTTCTTTCAGGACATCAACTGATCGCGGAGTGGTGCCGTACACTTTACTCTTGAGGTAGCCCCATAAAAAGAAGTCCATTGGGGTCAAATCTGGACTACGTGGTGGCCAGGAAATGTCTCCTCTTCGAGAAATTACTTTGCTGGGAAAAAGTTGACAGACGACGGGCATAGAAGTGTTGGAGGTGTGGGCAGTTGCTCCGTCCTGTTGAAACCAGGTCTGCGTATTATAGCCTGGAAAATTCTGCAACGCTGGTGTCAAAAGCTCTTCTATCATTGCTACATACCGCTCCGAAGTAACAGTTAATGCGCGACCTCTGTCGTCCTCAAAAAAATAAGGGCCTACGATGCCATGCGCTGACATAGCAGCCCAAACTGTAACTTTAGGGCTGTGTAAGGGCTTCTGATGCTTACGCCTTGGATTTTCGGGGCTCCAATAACGGCAATTTTGTTTATTTACATGCCCGTTTAAATGGAAGTGAGCCTCGTCCGAGAACAACACATTATTGAGCGAAGAAAATCGATTCAACATTTCATTCGCAAAGTTTAGTCTCTGAATAGCGTCATTACCTTTTAATTCCTGCACTAACAGAATTTTGTAAGCGTGCAGACGTAAATCTTTCCTTAAAATCCGCTGTAAAGATGTTCTGGGTACGTTTAGTGCACTGGAACGCTTACGAGTAGACTGGGTAGGATTTTGACGAACAGACTGTGCCACAATGTTGATGTTTTCTTCAATACGAGTTGTCCTTGGTCGACCCCACCGCTGTTTATCTACCAGTCTCTTCGAACTTAGCAACCCAGTTCTTAATCGTTTGAGCTGTTGGACACTTTGTAAAATTGTGTAAATTGTGGTATTCTCGATATTTACGCCGCGCAATGGTTGCCGAATCATTATTTTGATAAAACGCGCGCACACAAAAAGCACGATCCGCTCCAGTGAAACACTCCATGGCGACTGAATTCCCAGTCACTGAAGATACTGCCCCCACCTCGCCCGCGCCGCTCACGCTCACCCGTTAAATTTTATTCAAATTTGAAATTTCAAAGGAATTATGGACCACCCTGTATTTCTGCAGTCCCAACATTCAGGTCACCCTGTTTAACGGCGGTCGCACTCACTTTTTCCAGTGTCCTCCACTTCTTTAATTTACAAAAAGGACACTGCCCATCGATAAGCCTCCTCTTGCATTTCTTGCAATGATCACGCATGAGCACCTCGTTCAGATCCTGTTCGGTGTGCCAAGCGAAACATTCGTGAGTTACGCCCTCTGTAGGGCATTTGCCGCAGAAGGCACATACTGTGTTCAACCTATGACAAGGATGGTGCAAGGTGAAGAAGTCGATACAGATGTCGCAATATATGAAATTGAGAAGTTTTCCTTCGTGCTGGGGGAATTCTTTTTGGTCGTAAACACCCAAACATTCCTCGCATCGTTCGCCTTTAACGTCATCGGATCTGGAATTGAACGCAGCTGTTAAAATGGGACCACTTGAAGCGGGTCTAATTTCCACGGCACACTGTACAAATAGTTGTGAAATGAGACACAGATTGAACCTTTTTAACACGCTTTTATTAGTTTGACCTGCATGTATGTACAGGGTGGCCAAATAAGAATGCGAGGTACGTATCTGGGAACCTATCTTTCGTAGACGTAGAACGGCCAAGAGAAAAATATGGAAAAAGTTTCTGAAATGGTAGCTGGGGGCGTAACTGCAATCTTGAATCTAAAAAAGTGATGTTTCTATGAATTCCGCTATATTACCCTAACAAAAAATACGTGACCTTCAAATATTCGAGGATAATCTGAACCTTTTCTGTTTGACAATTTTTGCTGATCTTTAGAAATAAAGTTGTGTGGGGTATTCAAAGGTTTCCGTAAAAAAACACCATGTTGTATCTTCAGCAAAGCTAGTTGAAAAGAGCTATCCTTGGTTTACAAATGTTATATATGTGAAGTTTTGTTATTTCACATGTGGCTACTAGAGAGCTTTTTAGATATTCCGACAGAAATGATTATTTTTTTCAAAAAATGAAATGCATTGGTACGATTTTTTTTATGAAAAAAAAAATCCCTTAGATCTCATTTTTTCCTGTAATTTCTTTTTACTCATCAAAATAAATTAACCCTTTTTGAAACTATTAAAAAATATAGCTAAAAGGTAAGTAAGTATGTGCTAATAACAAAAGGCGTATTTTTGGTTTAAATGCATATTCACTGTAAGTATGGGGTTGTCCAAAACGAACGCAGGAAAGTAAACGCATATTAAAACAAGAAAGATTGATATTCAAATCAAGTTGGGTACTTTATTTTGAAGGTTCATTTATACCATTTATGTATGAAAAATAATATCGCTCAAATGTTCACCACGACTGGATTTACAGACGTCCACGCGATGGTCGAAATGTTCAGTGACATTTTGCAACATGGTCGGTTCTATGGCATTTATCTCGGCAATGATGTTGTTTTTGAGTTCTTGGAGGGTGGCTGGTTTGTTGACGTAGACTTTGCTTTTCAAATATCCCCATAAAAAGAAGTCCAAGGGAGTCAAATCGCACGATCTTGGTGGCCATGGCACATTTCCTCTGCGCGAAATCACGCGATCACCGAAGGACTGCAATCGATGGATATTGACGTTGGTTGTGTGGCATGTTGCACCGTCTTGTTGGAAATAAACATCGTCCATATCCATTCCTTCAAGTTGCGGCAAAAATAGTCCTCTATCATCAGGTGATATCGCTCAGAATTGACGGTAAGGGCGTCCCCGGCCACATTTTCGAAAAAGTAAGGTCCGATGATGCCTTTTGACCACAATGCACACCACACAGTCACTTTTTGAGGAAGCATCGGCTGCTCTTGATACTCACGGGGATTTTCGTTCGCCCAGATGCGGCAGTTTTGCTTGTTTACCGTCCCATTCAAAGTGAAATGCGCTTCGTCGCTGAACATGATTTTTGATGAAAAATTGGCATCAATTTGGCGGTGTTCAAGGAGCCAATCTGAGAACGTTCGGCGCGAAAAATGGTCGGCCGGACGCAGCTCTTGCGTCGATTGGATCTTGTAGGCGTGTACATTTAAATCCTTGTGGAGAATGCGGAGCAAACTGGTTCTCGAAATGCCCAATTCTTGGGATCGACGCGTTGTTGATTGTTTCGGATCGTCTCTCACACTCTCCTTCACAACAGCAATATTTTCCGGTGTGCGAACGCTCCTTGGCCGGCCAGAGCCTGGCAGATTTGCCACAGAACCTGTTGCCTCGAATTTACGCACCAGACGACCGATGGTTGTTTCGTTTGGGCGGTTGATGCGACCGAAATGTTCACGAAGCGCGCGAAACGTGTTTTTTATTTTTGCACCATTTTTGTAGTGCTCTTGAATAACTTTAATGCGGTCTTCAATCGAATACGACTCCATAGCGATCAATGGAAAACATTCAACTAACAAAATCACGTGTCGGTGACAGAAAACAAAGATGGCGTCTATGTCAAATTGACGTTTACTTTCCTGCGTCCCTATTGGACAACCCTTTATATACGAAAAAGACAATAGAAGCAGGTCATAGAATACATCAAAACATAAATAATCCTCAAATTGTCAATAGTCTCGCGTTACTTTGAGCAATTTTTGTGCTTACTAAATGCGTTTTACAAACGATCAAGCTGTCTATATATAAGTTAGAGGGAGGCCAATTTAAAAGTCGGTATGTATGTATCTTTCATCCTAGTTTTTACCAATTTCAAGAAGTCTGATTAACTTGAAAATTTGCAAGGGGCCTGTCTAGGACCGATGACAGTTACAATAATCTTGGGGAAAAAATCGAATTTGAAAATCTTAAAAATTTCAGTTTTTAGATTATGAAAAAAATTGGATTTGAAAATTTGGAAAATAATTAGAACTTTAAAGAAACATAGTTTCCTGTTATAAAGTTGCCGACGTTTAGGAAAAATTTACTTGCTTCTAAAAAAAATGTGTAAAACAATTTACATTTCCATTAATTAACGATTTAAATGAAAAAAATCGATGTAAAAGATACTTATAAATGAGCTACGAGTATTTCCGAAACGTCAGCAACTTAACAACAGGAAACTGTTTTTCTTAAGGGCTTGTCAGTCGTTTCTACAATATTGTAGGACGCCTTTATAGCCTCCTTGATTTTCATAATATTTTCTCTCCTTCAGAAAGGCTGGAGTATTTCTAGATTTCTACTGTTCCGAATCAGCGTCAGAGCTATTGTGAGGTTGTTCTTTTTTTTTAATGTAGGAAATTTCAGGCTAACAAAACAGATGATAAAAATCAAAAGCGTGAACAATTTGATGCAAATAGATATTTGTAACATAACCTCAAAATACAGCGCTGACACGGAACAGTAAAAATCCTGAAGGACAGGAAAAACTATGAAATCCAAGGCCGTAAAGACGACCTACAATTGTAGAAGCGACTGACGATACGGTCCTTAGACCCAAAA